CAAAACAGAGAGATAGATACGAGCTTAGTGCTTAGAGAAGAGAAGTGAACAAGGAAGGGTAAGAAGAGCAATTAATTAAGCTACCCCAGGGGCTTTCTTCCATGTAAAATAGACCATGTGACGACAGCACGGGCACACGCAGTTGTCCTCCAACCACTTGACGAGGCAGTGCGAATGATACCTGTGGCCGCAGTTGGGCAGCTTGGTCACCTGTGCCCCCACGTACAGCCTATCCATGCATAAGTCGCACATAAATATGAAATGCCACCCTTCCTCCATTCTCTCGATCCTTGTCCGAGGTAGGTCAAAAAGCACATGCCTCACATGCTCGTCCAAAGGCTTCTTGGGCCCCTCCACAGTCGGCAGGTCCCACAGGTAGAGAGGCACCAGCCTCCGCCCGCAGATGGCCCTCTTCATCACGGCCCGATCAGGCTCGCCCGGAGCCTGCACCGTGCGCACCTGAAAGTTCACGGCTACAGGGACAATCCCAGGCCCCCGGGTTCTGGCCATGTCCCGGGCAAAGGCATCGGCCTCGGAAGCAAAAGCGCGGATCTCAGGCCCACTCATCCAATACTCGTTCAGCCTGACGAATGTACGCGCCATAAGGGCAACCGAACATTCGGTCTCCCCCATGTAGGAGTCGAATTTCTCCGAGTCGATCACGCGCTCCTCAACTTCTTTCTTCTTCTTCACCACAACGAACTTTGTCCTGATCTCAAACAGAAAGGGCGTGCTCCACCTCCCATTCAGAATTTTTGATTTGTGCTTAGAATTTATCTGCTCCAAGTCCACCAACTCGAACCCGTAACGGTATTCATATCCGAATCTACTACCCATCCTCCTCCTCTATCACGATCTACAAGATCAATTGTTTGTTCACAAAATCAATCACAAACTAAGAGCGAGTAAAATAACTTCAAATCAAATCAATATATTATTATATATAAACAATAAAACCAAAATCACAGTCTCAAAACTTTGTGTCCGAACGAACCCTAAAATTAGTAGTAGTGTAAAGATTATGGTACCTCAAAGATTATGTGTACAAATAAATAATAAGCAAACTTCCCCAAGGAACCCAAATTTTATTCCGTATACAAATACTTGTTTTTAGTCTATTGTGCCATCTCTCTCTTATCTTATATATATATATATACTAGTTGGCGGGATGGCTGTGCACGCACAACCGACGACTCTAGTCAAGTCTATAATTAAAACCAATATTTGTCAATATTTAAAAATACACATACCTATTTTTTTTTTTTTGACAAAACAGACAGAGAAGAACAACGGCAGAGGCTAAAGACAGCAGCTCGCTAAAACTCATCGGCTTCTTGTCCTTACTCCTCCACTGTGTAGCAAAGTCGAAAGATCTCGACTAAGAGTAAAAATGGAACTCTTCGTTGGAGTCAAATCATCAATTCTGTTAATGGTAACCAATCTACAATATAGGTAGAGTGTCACTTAACCTCAATGTTGCTACTTAAGAGTGAATAACATGTTGCTTCTTGAGAAACTTAAGCCACGTCAATTAAAGTTGTAAATTGTTGGTATCTAAAAAAATAACAATATTTATATTGAAATGAGAAACATAGAATAGATATGAAAACAGAGAATAGTATAAAATTAGTTTCTTACTTTCTTGTTTTATTTTTCTTCTTCACACAATTCCACAAACACATTACATGTATTTATAGGAATGCTAACCGATGCTAACAGGCCTTATCGGGAAACTTCATGACATTTCTTACAATTAATTATCATTAGATCAATCTAGATCTTCTCAATTATTAAGAACAACAATAATTTTATGTAAACTAGAATCTTCTTTTATGAGCATCAATATTTAATACTCCCCCTTGATGCTCTTTTGCGTAATACCGAGCTTATCACGTAGTGCCTCGAATCTTGGTTTCGGTAGTGCTTTCGTAAAAATATCCGCTAGTTGATCTTCTGTGGCGACATACTTGAGCTCTATCTGCTTGTCATTAGTTGCTTCTCTTAGAAAATGATATTTGATAGCAATGTGTTTGGTCCTGTTGTGATGTACGGGATTCTTTGCCATCGCTATCGCTGACTTATTGTCGCAGTATATCTCCGTTGGACTTTCTTGGTGTTCTCCCATGTATCCAAGAATACGTCTAAGCCAAATAGCTTGACTTGTTGTTAGTGCTGCTGCAACGTACTCTGCCTCTGCTGAGGATTGCGCCACACAATCTTGCTTTTTAGATGACCACGAGAATATGCCTGAGCCAAGTGAAAATGTGTAGCCAGATGTGCTTTTCATGTCGTCAACTGATCCAGCCCAGTCACTGTCTGTGTAGCCAATCAGTCTTGAGTCTTTGTTATAATGGTATTGGATTCCGTAGTCTTTAGTACCCTGCAAATATCGCAGTATTCTTTTCGCGGCTCCATAGTGAACTTGGCTTGGATTTTGCATGAACCTTGACAGTAGACTTGTAGCATACATGATATCTGGTCTTGTGGCCGTTAGATATAGTAGACTTCCAATCAGGCTTCTGTATGTGGATGCATCTGCATTTGGTATACCATCTTCTTTGCTGAATTTTTCGTTAGCTACCATGGGAGTAGCCACTGGTTTGCAGCCGTCCATCTTGAACCTTCTTAATAAATTATCTGTGTATTTCCTCTGTGAGATAAATATCCCATTTTCTTCTTGGTTTACCTCAATGCCGAGAAAATAGCTCATTTGCCCAAAGTCTGTCATCTCAAAGGTCTTCATCATATCTTTTTTGAACTGCTTAATCAACTCCTCATTGTTCCCTGTATAAATAAGATCATCGACATAAAGAGAGACAATGAGTTTGTTGTCGTTACCTTGGGTCTTGATGTAGAGTGTTGGCTCAATTTCGCTTCTTTTGAATCCATGACTGGTGAAATAGTCATCAATTCGGTTGTACCAGGCTCGTGGGGCTTGTTTCAATCCATAAAGTGCCTTTTTTAGCTTTAGGACTTTATTTTCCTGTCCTTCTGCCACGAACCCTTGAGGTTGTTCGACATAGATCTCCTCTTCCAGGTAGCCGTTGAGAAATGCTGACTTGACATCAAGTTGGTAGATTCTCCATTTCTTCTGAGTTGCAAGTGCGATTAGAGCTCTTATGGTGTCAAGCCGAGCAACTGGAGCGAAGGTCTCGTTGTAGTCAATCCCGGGAAGTTGTGAGTATACTTTAGCAACCAATCGTGCTTTATGTTTTTGGATTGAGCCATCTGGGTTAAGCTTCGTCTTGTAGACCCACTTAACTCCAATGACTTCTTTGTTGTTTGGTGGATCGACTAACTCCCAAGTTTTATTCTTTTCGATCATCCTGATTTCTTCCTCAATGGCTTTTACCCATTCTTTTTCCTTTATGGCTGCTTCAAAGCTTTCAGGTTCCACCGTGACAAAATTGCATGTCTCGTATATCTCCCTGAGTGTTCGTACTTTTCTCGGTGGTGATTCTGGGGATGACTGTTCGTCAATTGATGGTGTTGTTATCCTCGGACTCGAAGGTTGTGGAGCTGGAGGTGATTGTGTACCTTCTGCTTCATCTTCATGTTCTCCTGGTATGGTATTTTGCCTTCGCTGTGTAGGTACCATGATATTTTGGTATTCGACTTTTTCTTTCTTCCAGTTCCACGCAGCATTTTCATCGAACTCAACATCTCGACTGATAATTAATTTACCAGTCTTGAGAATGTAAATTCTGTATCCTTTAGATTGAGACGCATAGCCGAGGAATATGCCTTTCTCTGATTTCTCCTCTAATTTGTGTCTCTTTTCCTTTGGGATGTGCACGTAACAGATACTCCCAAACACCCGTAGATGTTGGGCTGACGGTTTTCGTCCACTCCAAGCTTCTATTGGAGTTTTATTTTTGACAGCTTTAGTAGGACACCTGTTGAGTAGATAGACTGCAGTGTATACAGCTTCTGCCCAAAATTCTTTAGGCATGTTCTTCTCCGCGAGCATTGTCCTGGCCATCTCTTGTACAGTTCTGTTTTTCCTTTCTGATACGCCGTTTTGCTCTGGATCATAGCCGACAGTTAACTGGTGGTTGACTCCTTCATCCTCGCAGAATTTGTTAAACTCCTTGGATGTGTATTCTGTTCCTCGATCACTCCGAAGTACTTTAATTCTTCTTCCACTTTGATTTTCGACGAGGCTTTTGAATTTCTTGAAGATAGAGAAGACTTCGGACCTTTCTTTCATGAAATACACCCAAGTCATTCTTGTATAATCATCAATAAAGAGAATGAAGTACCTGTTCTTCTCGAAGGTTGGCGTTCTCATTGGACCGCACACGTCTGTATGCACCAGCTCCAGTATTTGATTGGCTCTTCCTGCTTGGTTTAAAGGAAATGGTTTCCTATGTTGTTTTCCCTCCATGCACTTCTCACAGAGATTGTCGTTGATTTGGATGGCTGGTAGATTTTTCATCATATTCTTATGATGGAGAAGCTTTAGACCGTTGAAGTTGAAGTGCCCGAACCTTCGGTGCCATAGCCAGGATTGATCTTCTTCGGCTTTTAGTGCTGCTTCTATGAATTTCCAACGGAGTGGAAAGTTTCTCCGTTGTTGCATTTTTACTACAGCTATGGGATTATTTTTGTTATCATAAATGGTGCAAGAGTAGTCTTTAAAGAGTAGTGTGTATCCTCTTTCCACCATTTGTCCCACACTGAGTAAATTAGTATCAAGTTTTGGTACTAGCAGCACATCTTCAACGAGACGAGTACCTTTTTGAGTCTCGACTTCTATTGAGCCTTTGCCTTCAACTTCTACTAAATCTCCATTTCCCAACCGAACTTGTGATTTTACAGATCTATCAATATTTTTAAATTTCTTCTCATCTCCAGTCATATGATTACTACAGCCGCTATCTAGGAACCAAATATCATTTTTCTCTTCTGAAGTTGCTTGATTTGCATAAAATAACAAAATTTCTCCTTTTTCATTTTCTTCAGAGAAATTTGCTTGATATCCTTTAGCACGACAATTTTTCTCCACATGACCAAATTTACCACAATTTTTACATTGTGGTTTATTCCGATACCAACAATCTTTCTCAAGATGGTTGGTTTTCTTACAAACTCCACAAGGTGGATATTTTCCTTTTTGTTTATTATTATTATTTCCACCTTGACTTTTATTTTTATTATTTTCTCCAAATCTTCTCCCCCCAATTTTAGAATTCTGAGACCGTAAATTTAATTTTGACTGAAATGCATTTTCGACTGTGTCATTCTCACGCATACTCAGTCTTCTTTCATAGGCTTCTAGTGAACCTATTAATTCTGTTACTGACAAATGATCCAAATCTTTAGTTTCTTCTGTCGTCGTGACAATAGGATCATATTTGGCTGGTAGAGTAATTAGAACTTTTTCTACCACCCTTTTGTCAGTAATATTTTCTCCATATGCTTTTAATTGATTTACTACTTCTCTTAATCGAGTGTAGTAATCTTTTACGGTCTCAGATTCTTTCATCTTCATATTTTCCAAATCTCTTCTTAGAGTTTGTAATTTCAGATGACGTACCTTGTCACTACCCTGGTATTCTTCCTTGAGAATATCCCATGCCTCCTTTGATGTTTGTGCTCCACTAATTCGTGGAAACAGGGACTCCGCCATGGCCATTTGTAGTGTGAAAAGAGCCAAACTGTCTTTTTCCTTTTCCCGATCGAATTTTTCTTCGTCCGCCGTAGACAAAGTGGAAATGTCATCGGGTATACTATACCCGTTCTCGACAATATTCCATAGGCCTTGAGACATAAAATATGTCCTCATTTTAATGGCCCAATAATTATAATTTTCGCCAGAAAAAATAGGAATTGCT